TGGAATTTGTCAGACCTTCAGCGCCAAATTGGGACTACTGAGACATCCAGCACTGTGGACTGAGCGACTACAGATTCTTAGCCTCTCCAGCGTCGTGCAGCCATTGTTGGACTACTCAGAAATCTCTATACATATATATTCATTCTATCCATTCTGTTTCTTTGGAGAACCCTGACTAATACAGATTGTGGTACCAGGAGTGGTTCTAGAGAAACAGAATTGAAGGATGAATTTCTTTAGCTAAGCTGATAAATCTCTATACATATTCATTCTGCTGGTTCTGTTTCTTTGAAGAACCCTGACTAATACAACATCACATAGTAGGAGCTATGTGAGCTTGATGAAAAAGGCTTTATTTTTATTTTTATTTTATATGTAAGAGTGTTTGGCCTACATGTTATGTTAGTGCACCTGTATCATGTATCAGAAGACTGGGCATTGGAACTCTTAGAACTGGAGTTACAGTAGGTTGTTAGCCTCCATGTGGGTGCTTGGAACTGAATCTAGTTCCTTTGGAAGAGCAGCCAGTGCTCTTAACCGCTAAGCCAACCATCTCTTCAGTGCTCCTACCTCCAACACTTTTTTTTGAGATAGGGTCTCACTATGTCAATCAGGCTGCCCTCAAACTCACAGAAATCCATGTGCTTCTGACTCCCATGTACTGGGATTAAAGGCATAAGCCACCACACCCCAACCCTGTTCATTTGTTTTTTAAGAGATGGGAATCTTGGGGCTGGAGAGATGGCTCAGCAATTAAGAGCATCCAGCATACACATACCCATACATAGACACACACACACCTTGAGAAATTTTTTTAAAGAAAATTTTTATGTATATAAGTGTTTTGCCCACATGAAGTGTATTATTTGCATGCAGTGCCTGCAGATGTCAGAAGAGGGCATTGGATCCCTTGGAACTGGGATTATGTGGGTTCTGTGATTCAAACCTGGGTCCTCTGCAAGAGCAGCCAGAGCTCTTAAACTCTCCAGTTCCCTAAAAAAATTCTTAAGTGGAATCTTGATATGTTGTTGCCCATGCTGGCCTTGAACTTGTGGTCTCACCTGATCTTCCTGCCTTAGCTTCCCTAAGACTAGGATTACAGGGACATACCACCATGTATGCTGAGGAAAGTCTATTTAACCAGAGATGGTCCCTTAAAAAAACCCATTTTTCAGGGCCTACTGTTCTATGAGAACTCTGGTCCTTCTTTATGAGGGTGGAGCCCCCTTAACCTCATGACTTCTGCTAGGCCTCATCTCTCAAAGACTCTACTGCCTAATTACTGCCACACTGGGAGCCAGGTGTTCTGCTTTGGGGGAACATACTATCCTTTTCTAAGCCATTGTCCTGAATATCTTAGATTTACATTTTGGAACTCAATATAATTTTCATTCTGGGTCTAATGATTTCTAGATTACAGTCTTTGGACATAAGTGGTTTTAGCAGTGACTGTCAACACCTACACTCTGTAGTTGGGGACCTCATCTGAGCTGCATGGTTTAGATGAGGCTCCACCAGTATGATGATATTTACGACTTTCCAAAGCAACCTCCAATTACATTTTTTCCAGTTGTAAATCTGCTTTTGCCTCATTGTCAGATTAATAAATCATTTTTTTGTTTTATTTTAGTGATGTCCTCGCATTGCCCATTTTTAAGCAAGAAGAGTCAAGCTTACCTCCTGATAATGGGAATGAAATTCTACCTTTTCAGTATGTTCTTTGTGCTGCCACCTCTCCAGCAGTGAAGCTCCATGATGAGACCCTGACATATCTCAATCAAGGTCAGATACATTCTTACCTGCTAGCACATCGGAGACTGCTGATTCATGACATGTGATTGTAGGTACTTATATGTCAAAGTTAGATCTTTGTAGTGTGGCCTATCAAACTAGAAGCGTTCTGTGACATTTGATGAGTATTACTGGCCACATTTATCTGCCTGTCCATTTCCAGTTTGTGTTTGTTGGTTATCCCCATTGGTATTACCTTGCCCAGCTCTGCTGTTTACGTTATATGGCATTGACAAGTTATTTTAACTCTTCAAGTTCTTTATCTGTAAAAATGGGACTGATAATAATTTAGAAAGTTGTGTCAATTACATGAAATACTATGCGAAAGTAGTTAGCATGGTACCTAGCTTTTGGCTGTTTACTAATACTAATGTATTAGTATTAATTAGTATTAATTAGTATTAACTTGTGTGTTCAACCAATTGTATTTGCTTCTCACGGTGTCTAGAGAAGCTAATTGGTGATAGATATAATTTGTAATTACTTTTCCTTCTAGGACAGTCTTATGAAATCCGAATGCTAGACAATAGGAAACTTGGAGAACTTCCTGAAATTAATGGCAAGTTGGTGAAGGTAAAAAAAGTAAACCATTCTTCTGCACAGTATCCTTTTATAGACTCTTTTTGAATGTCTTTGTTTTTTGTTTTCTGTCTTTTAAGCTTTTAAGATTTTTTTTTTTTTTTTTTTTTTTGCACCGGGCAAGGGAGGGAACCAGTTCCCTTGCTGGCCTCCAACAAAGCCTGACTAGATTTATTTACTTTTTTGTGTCTGAGTATTTTGCTTGCATGTATGTAGGTGCACCGTGTACATGCTTGGTGCCCTCAGAGGCCAGAAAAAGACATTGCATTTCCTGAAACTGGAGTTGCAGAAGGTTGTTACCTGTCATGTGGGTGCTAGGAAGCAAACCTGGGTCCTCTGCATGAACAACCAATGCTCTTAGTCTCTGAAATCTCTCTCCAGCTTGTTTTCTTTCTTTTTAAGATTTGAGGGCTGGCCTTAAATCCTACCTCAGCCTCTCAAATGCAGTGCTGGAATTTTAGGAGTGTACCGTCATACCTGGCTGTGATTTCTTTTTTCTGTCTCATGTTATTTTGCTTCCATACATGGCTTGATGATATCATTCATCTGCTGTAATTGTCTGACTGAGAGATAAACTGATGTGTTATTTCTTATGGATATTTAATATTAATTAATTAATTAGTTGTGTTTCGGGGAGGGTGCATATGTTGTAGTTCATGTGTGGAGGTCTTTCAGGAGTCAGTTCTCTCCTTCTACTATGTGGGTTCTGGAAATAGAAACTCAGATCGTCAGTCTTGGCAGCAAGTGTCTTTACCTGCTGAGCCATCTCACCAGCCTTCATGTGGATTTTTCAGAGTTGCAGAAGCAAAAGGTTTGCAAGTCCATATTCATGATAGTTCCTTGGTGAAGTTCTTTTTGGTGATATAAAATAAGCTCCTTGAAGGTTGGGGTATTTATTTATTGAAACCAAAGCCTGATGCATGCTAGGCAGGTGCTCTGCCACTAGCTACATACACCTCCAGCTGCTCCTTAATATCTTTAGGTAAGCTTCTGTGGCTGTTTGAAAACCTGGGCTTGTAACAAGGAAAACAGAAACTGCCGTTGCCCTCCTCTCTTTTTTGCTCTGTTATATCCCTGAAAGTAATGTGGATCAGCAGCAGCTTTACTGGAGTTACACATGAAAAATCGGTTAGAGGACTTACCTTTGACTTGTCCGCTGAAACCCATATAGTCTGATCTGACAAGATGGGGGCTCCACCTGAGCCAGCAGCACTTCAGCTAGGTGAGGAGGGTATTGGCTTTATTAATTGAAGGCACCACTCAATGAAAGAAACTATGCACACTCTTTGTACATGAAGTTTAAAAATTTTAAAACAGAAACTAAAAAACCTAACCACTTAGGTTTTTTTTGGTAGACTGACAGTAACAATTTTGTGAACTCACAGCACCCTTGAACAAACAGGTTTTATTCAGCTGCTGTAAGAGGTTGTAGGAGTGATTAACTAGTACCTCCACAGAGTAGGAGTGACAGAAGGAAAATTGATGGAAATAGGCCTTGTAACCTCTGAGTGTTTATAAGTTGTATGGAGGATTGGCAAGCAGGGGTCGTGGTAAGCTTTTCATATGTCTCTGGAGGGCTGAGCTGGATATTACATGGTATGAGAATAGAAGCAGGTAGAAGTGCTTCATAGGGCTGACAAGATGGTACAGGTGGTAAAGGTGCTTACTACCAAGTCTGATGACCTAAATTCTATTCCTGGGACCCATGTGGTAGAAGGGAAGAATTTCAGTGGCATACAATCACCCTTCCCCTCAAATAAATAAATCAATGTGATAATTTTTTTTTTTTTTTTAGTCTTTTTTTGAGACAGGGTCTCCCTGTAGCCCCAGCTGGCCTAGAACTCACTGTGTAGCCCAGGCTGGCCTTGAACTCACAGAGATCAAAGCCTGCCTCTGCCTCCTGAATGCTGGGATTAGAGGTATGCGCCACCATGACTGGTACTAATGTAATAAAATTTTTTTAAAGAAAATAACAAAAAAATATCCAGATGCAGTGGCGCATGCCTTAATCCCAGCATTCTCAGCACTTGGGAGGCAGAGGCAGGCGGATCTCTGTGAGTTCAAGGCCAGCCTGGTCTGCGTAGTGAGTTCCAGGCCAACTGGGGCTATAGGGAGACCCTGTCTCAAAAGACCAAAAACAAAACAAAACAAAAAAACCCATAGTGGGTGTGGTGGTACATGCCTGCAGTCTCAGCATTTGGGAAGCAGGGGCATGAGGATTGAAAGTTCAAGGATAGACTAGACTATATAGTGAGTTTGAGACTAGCCTGGGCTACATAGTGAGACCCTCTTAAAAAATGAAAAGCTTCACAGAGGAGTCCCTCAACATTTTAAATATGGTATCAGCTAACTCTAAAGATTATGTATGATCCCAACATTTGGGAGGCTGAGGCAGGAGGATCAAGAGTCTGATGCCAGGGTTGGAAAGATGGTTCAGTGGTTAAGGTTCTTGTTACCAACCCTGACAACCTGAGTTTGATCCCTGATACCCACATGGTGTGTATTAGTTAGGGTTCTCCAAAGAAACAGAACCGGTAGAATGAATATATATATATATAAAATAATATATAGTTTACAGGATAGAGTCTGAGTAGTCCAACAATGGCTGCACCACACTGGAGAGGCTGAGAATCTGTTGTCATTCAGTCCACCAGGCCGGATGTCTCAGTATCCCCAATCTGGTGCTGAAGGTCTGACAAGTTCCAAAAGATCAGCTAGTCTTCAGTCTATAGCAGCAAGACGAATTCACCAAAGAAAAGGCAAGCAGCAAGAAACCAGGTGTTCTCTGCCTTGGCCTTTTATATGGGCTGTCATCAGAAGGTAACACCCACATTTAGGGTGTGTCTTCTAGCTTCAGATGATCCAACCAAGAAGATCTCTCTCATTTCAGTTAATCCCAGATCCAGTCAAGTTCACACTCAGGATTAGTCATCACAGTCCTGAAACCTTGTCAACTTGACACCCAATAGCATCTCTCTATGTCATGCTTAATTTTCAAATGAAAACAATGTTGAGGTCATAATTTCACCTAACGTGATATGAATATCCCATCATACAATGACCAATGCATTATATATCTTAGAGTAGGTGATAAGGTCTTCGAGGAATGCTTAGTCCTTTAGTATCTCATAAACCCAATATAATCATATAGGTTCATAGCACTTAACCATTTAATATTTAATT